TTTTTGTTTAATTATNTAAATAAATCATATTTTTTATGAAAATTATTATNTAAAAATTGATAAATATGTAATAAAAAATATTTTTTTTTTAAATTATTTAATATATAATTCTTTTAACCTATCTTATAGTAAATTATTTATATTATTTTTTTATTAAAAGAATATTTTAAAAAATATATTTTTTTTTATAAAAAAAAATATTTAAACAAAATTATATTCATTATTAAAAATGAAAAAATCATTAATTAAATTTAACTTTTTTATTTTACAATAAAATTAAATTTTTATAAATTTCTTTAATTTTTTAAATTAAAAAATTAATTAACAACTATTAGAAATTTAATTTTATATAATCAAAAAAATATAAAGTAATATAATAATTTAATTTTATTTAAAGATTATTAAATTAAAATATATGTGATATTTTTTATTTTATTAATGGAATTTTATTATATAGTTTAAAAATATTGGAAATATAATGATATATAAATAGATTGCAAATAATTTGTATAGTCATCAGTATATATTTTATTTATTTTAAAATTTAAATTTATTTTATTTAATGTTTTTTTAAAAAAATACAAAAAAATTATAAAGTAAAATATTAAAAATAGTATGAAGAAATAAAGTATAATATACCATATTAATATTATTTTGATTTTGGATTATTATATTATAATAAAATATAAAATTCTGCCTTTTTTTATAATTTATTTTAAATTTTAAGTATCTTATTTGATTATTATTTTAGTTTTTAGGTTTGTTTGAAAATTATTATGCGGATTCTAAAGGTATAAATTTATTTATTATTCTTTTATTTAATTATATATTATCAAATTTAATTATATTAATGAATTTTTTTTAAATCATTTATTTTTTTCGATAATAATTATTTCTATTTTTTAACTGCATTTGAATTTTCAGATAGTAACTAACATTAAAGTATTTTTTAAAAAAATTTTCTAAAAAGAAATTAATCAATTTATATTAATAAAAAAAAATATATAAAAATACAATATTAAATTTATTATTATATTAAATTAAATAGTTTTATTTTAAGTATAATAATAAAAAAAAAAATTATAAATTATTATGTTGACAAAATTTAAATATTATAAATGTATTAACTTTATTATTTAATATAGTTTTATTAAGTATTATTTATATAAAAAAAAATAATATATATATTAATTGAGATAATAAATATAAAGTATATATAATAATAATATAAAAATATAATATATATGAAAACATATTATAATATTAATAAATAATATATTATATTTATTTGATTATTAGTTTCAAATATTTTTTAAAAAAGTTAAATTAGGTAATATAAAGTTATTATAATTAAAAATATATAAATATATAAATATATAAATATATAAATATATATATATATATATTAATTTTTTTTAATTTTATTAATAATTATATAATTCTAATATGAAATGTACAAAATAATTATTATGTATAATATATGTTATTAATTTAAAATAATGCAAAAATATTAAATCAAAAATATTTATATAAAATATTTAATATTAATATATATAATAATTTACATTTAATTTTTAATCTATTATTAATAAGAAAAATCAAAAAATTATACAAAAATATATTAAAAATAATATAATCAATATAAATATTTTATGAAAAAATATCTTAAAATAAATTCTATATATCTAATAAAAGTCTATAAATTATTTTACTTGATAATAATATGATATGACTAATAAATATAAAAAAAACGTACTATAAAATTGCGTAAAACAGAATAAATTATTTTTAAAAAAAAGGTAAAATTAAATTTAAAATAAATTAGCATATAGAAAATATTTATATAATTGAAATAATATAAAATTTATAAAATATTATATATAAATAAATAGTAATTTATTATTTATTTTATTAAAATATAAAATAGTTTTTTTAATTATCTTTTCAAATAAAAAAAATATATATTTTATATTAAGCTTTATAAAAAATAAAGTATATATACATTTAATATACTTAGTAGAAACAATAATTTGTAAATTAAATTATAAAAAATGTTATAAATTTTTATATAATTTTCTTTCCTTATTAATAAGATCTCAATATATTTTCTATTGTTATAATTATTCATTTATATATAAAAATAACATTTTTTTTTTACTTGGTATAAGTTTCTATATGCTATTAATTAAAATAAAGAATTAAAATAAATTAAATTTAAAGAAAAAAAATATAATAGAAATTAAAATGCAAGAAAAACTGTATATACAGATATAATATCTTTTTAAATTTTTTGTTTTTGTTTTTATTTTAAAAATCAAGTTTTAATATAAGAGAATTTATTTAAAATTAAATAAAAAAAAAGATTCATTTAAATTCTAACAATTTTAAAAATAATTAAAAGCTTTACTTTTATATTTTATAACTTATATATTTCTAAAATTTTAATTTTAATATTATATCAAAAAAAAAATTGATATTAATTTAAAAAATTTATAAATTGTGAAAAAAAAAAAAATGAAAGATATTATAAAAAAATAAATAATATCTTAAATTTTTAAAAATAAAATATAATATATAAATAAAAAAATAATGTAATAGTAAATAAAATAATATATCTTTTTAAAATATATAAATAAATATATGTATATATATATATATATATATATATATATATTTATATTTTTATATACATATATATTAAATAATTTTTTTTTATTTAAAAAAACATTAAAAAAAAAAAACTAAAAACATAAAAATAATATTTATTTTTAAAATAAAATAATAATTAATAGTTTGTCAAAATATTTAAAAATATATTAAAAAAACACTCTTCATTTTTATTAAATAGAAACAACTGCATCTTTTATGGCAGCTGCTAAATATCCAACATTTTTAGTTGTAATTCCACACTTAAAATATAAAAAAAATCAAAAAATTTTAAAAAAAATAAAAATAATTACCATCGAAATTCTTCCACTTCTAAGTAAATAAATATGATATTTATTAATTAAAACATCACATTGTTCCGGTGTTAATCCTGTAAACGAGAACATACCAATTTATTAAGTAATATGGTCCCAATTTCCTGGTGTTTATAATCTAACCAATTCATTTTTAAATGCAATTCTCATATCAATAATTCTCTTAGATACCATATTTAATTCCTCCAACCATTCATTATATAATACTTGATCTCCCAGAATTTTAGCTGCAATTCTAGCCCCATGAGCAGGAGGATTAGAATACATAGGTCTAATAACGAGTTTTATTTAAGACAAAACTTTAACTGCAGTATCTTTATTAGCACAAACAATATGGAAAGCTCCAATTCTTTCACTATATAATCCCATATTCTTGGCAAAAGATTAAGAAACTACTAACTAGAATCCTAATTCTGTAAATAATCTAATTGAAAAGGCATCTTTGACCAAATCTCCACTAGCGAATCCTTAATAAGCTGAATCAAAGAAAGGGAACAATTTATTTTATTTCATTAAAGCCGCTAATTTTCTCCATTAATCTTCACTTAAATCATAGCCAGTAGGATTATGTGCACACGCATGTAATAATACAATTGATCCGGCCTTAGCTTACGCCAAAGTATTATACATTCCTTCAAAATCGAGTCCTTTTTTTTAAGCATTGTAATAAGGGTAATTTTTAAAAGTCAATCCAGCACATCTAATTATATCATGATGGTTACCCCATGTAGGATTACTTACATAAACTTCACCTGGAGTGAATTTTTATAAAAATTCGAATCCGATTCTTAAAGATCCGGTACCTGAAATTGCCTATACAGTCACTACTCTTTGTTCTTTTATGGCAGCACTGTCTTTTCCGAAAATTAAAGCTTTGGTTAATTCGTTAAATTATGCCAAACCGTCGATAGGAAGATATTCTTTATCTAAAGTAGGATCGTTAGATAACATTTAGTCAACTTTTCTTACTACTTTGAATACATAAGGCTTTTCGTTATCGTCTCTGTATGCTCCGACTCCTAAATTCATCTTGTCTTTTGATTAATCGTTCTTATATGCTATTGCTGTTCCTAAAATCGGATCTGGGGGAGCAAGTTAGACGTTAACAAAAACGTCGTTTGAGCAGTTATTCTATTTATTTTTTTGTTTTATTATTTTTATTTAATTTATATTTTTTTTACTTATATTATTTATGATGATAGTGATTGGATTTTATCCATTTTATTTTATTTTAAATAATTTTTTTTTTTTTTCTTATTTTTTATTTTTATTATTTATCTATTATTTATAATATATTATTTTATTATATATTATGGCAATTAAATTATTGACGTAAATTTTATAAAATCGTCACATTATATTATTATATAAATATTTAGTATATTATTGTTTTATTAATTGTTTTTATATAAATTTTATAAAAGTTAATAAATAAACAAATAAACAAATTTAATATATATATATTTTTTTTTTAGTGTTTTTTCTACATTTCAAAATTATTTTATTGTAATAATTAGTTTTTTTATATATTTTTTATTATTATTATTTTTTTTATAAAAATTATAAATTAATTTAATATGTTTATAATTTTTATTTTTTTAAGAAATAAATGACATCTAAACAAAAATATATAATAATATTGGATATATTTAAATTTTTAATAAATATATTTTTAATTTAATTTTAATATATATAAATATATAATCAAGATCAGATTAATATTATTTAATATATTAATTTTTATTTGATTTTTAATATTATTTTTAAAATTATAAAATTGATTATATAATATTTAATTAAATTAAATATTATTTTATTTTATTTAAAATATAAAAAAAAAATATTAAATAAATACATCAATTATTATAAATATAATATAAATTATAAATTATATTAATTTATATTTAATTATTTATTTATAAATGTAAAAAATAAAAATATATATATATATATATAAATTTTAATAATAATATATAAAAATTTAATTTAATTCTATAATTAAATATGATATATCTTTTAATAAATAAATCAAAAAAAATTTAAATTTCATATCAAAATATTTTTCTTCAAATAATAAATCAATTAATTTTAATATTATAATTTTTTTTTTAAAAAAAAAATTAAATTAAATAATTATTTATTAATTATAAACGAATTCACATAAGCTTTATTTATATAGAAGTACTATCTAGATTAATTGCTACTTATATAAATTTACTAAACTAATGGCTAGCATAAAAGCTAGTTAACTCTCTAAAATTCATTTTCAAAATATATGTTATTTCTTTACATAATGGGAAAAACTATGTTTTCATTAATCAAAATTAATTTTATCTAAAGTAAACTTAAGTAAAAAATATATCAGTAGCATTTTAGGTCTTTTATTTATTATATAAATAAAAATAAATATAAAAACGATGTATGGATAAAAATTTATAAAATAATTTTTCTTCTAAATATCCAATTATTTTCGATGTATATGAATTTATAATAAAATAAGGAAAATATGTTCATAATCAAAATTTAATACTTTATAATATATGTTAATAGTTTATATTTATGCATAAAGGCTAAATCCATAAACATAATAAAAAATATTATAATTCTTACATTGATTTACAGATATCTTTATATATTCCAAAAGGTTTTTAAAAATATTTAACTGACACTTATTTTCTGAGCCAAACTATTTTTTACTTATAAAAATGCACATCATTATATTTTTTTAATTTTTTATTAAATATTAAACATCGGGCATAAATATGTTTAAAGATTGTATTAATAAAATGTTTAAGATCATTTACAATATGGGAATTTTTTTCAATTGTCTAAATTAACAAAGAACAACTTTTATTTTTTAATTAAAGTGTTTTTATATGATTAGTGTTTAATTTTTATTATGGATTTTTGTTTGACTCTACTTTAATATTTAAATATGGATTTAATAAGTAACTTTCATATTCAATTTTAAAAGCAACCATATATTGGTAAAATCTAAAATTTGTTTATATTAATTTAATTATTAATTCTAAAACTCAGATTTAACAATATATAATTTAATTTATTATATATATATTTATTTAATTCTAAAATAATATTATTATTACATTTTTATAGAAAAACAATGAAATTAAAAAAATTACAAATATACTTACAATTGTTGGCAAAAACAGATTTATAAAATTTTCGATTATTAAAATTTATTACTGACATCAAAACCAAATAAATCGAAATATTTAAGAATATCTAAAAATCTTTTTTAATTTTAAAATAATAATACGTGTAATTTTAAAAGAGGATATATAAAAAATAAGTTTTCGATTATATGAAATTATTTTGTATTTATAAAAATGTTAATTTATTGTTTTTAGTCGTAATTAAATATTTAAAAATGTATTTTTATTTTTCCTTTCATAAAAATATTATTATAAATACTTTTTAAATAAATAACTTGTTTAAAAAAATAAAAAAAACAGAATACATATATTTGATTAAAAAATAATAAATATAACTATAATTTCTTTTTTAAATTAAAATTAACGATAACTTTTAATTAAATATAAATCATTTTTTTAATTATAAATAATAAATTAAATTGAGAAATTTTAATAATATTTTTTAAAAAAGAAGTTTATTAAAAATTTAAAAATAATAATTTTAATTTTTAGTAATTACATTATAATTTATATTTTTTAAAAAAATAACTTTAAATTTACATTATTTGAAATTAAATACTTTTATAATTTTCTTTAAATTTTAATTTTAATTGAAAATTTAAATATCATTTTTTAAAAATATATATTTTGATTAATTTGATATAATGAATTTTTTTATTTAATTAAACATATCTTATAATTAAGTTTAAATTATATGTATTTAGAAAAAATATTTATAAATTAAAAGAAAGACATATATTAATAATAATAATTTTTTTATATAAAAAAATAAAATAAAAATATATTATGTCTCACAAAGGAAAAGGCAAAGGAAAAACATCAAAATTCGACTCAAAAATATCAAGAAAAAAAACAAATTAATAGCCATAATTAAGCCTTGCTTAATAATTTGAAGGCGCATTAGATAACATTTATTTTATTGAATGTCAAATGACTAATGGAAAATGGCATAAAGCAAGATTATTAAGTTATTAAATAAAAAAAAACAAAAAATCTAATATAAAAAAATATAAAAGGTGCAAGATTATGTAAAAATTATGATCCTAAAAATCTAAAAAAGTATAAAAGAATTTATAAATATTTTTTTATAAAAATTCTTAAATAATATCCTTAATTAAAAAAAGAGAAGACTCATATGATTATTATGTACATTATGAAGATTAAAACAGACGTATGGATGAGTGGGTATAAATAAATAGAATTAGGTTATTAGATGAATTAATACCAGACGAAACTAAAAAACACCATAAACAAAAAAACGATTTTAACGAATATAATGAACATGAAGGTTTCGACTAAGATTTATTAAACGAGCATTTAGAAATAACAAAAATAAAGACAATAAGTAGTGTATAAATAGGCAAAAATAAAATGGATTCATGGTATTATTCCCCATTTCCAGCAAATTATTAAAACTAAGACATTTTATATTTTTGTGAATTTTGCATGAATTTTTTCCTTTCCCCGCATGAATTATAACGCCATTCATAAAAATGCATATTAAAAAATCCTCCAGGAGATGAAATATACAGAGATGATGCCGGACCAATAAGTATTAGTATGTTTGAAGTCGATGGAAAGAAAAATCCAGTATATGCAGAAAACCTATCATATTTTTCAAAGCTTTTTTTAGACCATAAAAATTTATATTGGAATATGGACCCTTTTCTATTTTATATTTTATGCGAAAACGACTCCGAAGGATCCCATATTGTCGGTTATTTTTCAAAAGATAAAGACAGTAAAGAAAGTTATAATTTATCGTGCATTTTAGTTTTCCCATGTTATTAAAGAAAAGGATATGGAAAATTCCTTATTTCTTTTTCCTATGAACTTTCTATTATAGAAGATAAAATAGGAACTCCAGAAAGACCTTTGTCAGATTTGGGAAGAAGAAGCTATGAAAACTGGTGGGTTTAAAGAATTATTAGATTTATTTAGTCAAAGCCTAAAGATTTCTAGTTCTCAGTTGAAGAAATTACAAAAGGAACTTATATTAGAGACTAAGATGTCATTTGGACTCTTGAATAAAAAGGACTTATTAAATATGTTAATTCTTAATCTGTTTTATGTACTGATGATATTTTTTTAAATAAAGTTTATAACGAAGCTGGAAATCCAGGTGTTTTGGTTAAACCTATGAATATTCATTGGATACCTTATAGATTATAATGGAATAAAGATGTTAATGTTAAATTTCCTGAGTATGATCCCATTGAAGGGAGTAATTATACGTTTGTGACTAAATAAGTTAATGGTTAACTATAGAAAAAAACTCCAAAAAAAGATAAGAAAATTAATTAAGATCATATTAATAATAATAGTAATAATAATAATAACAGTAATAATTTAAATAACGAATAGAATTGAAAAATTGAAGCATTAAGTTCTCTTTAAATATTTCTTTTTGGTAGATTTAAAATATTATTAATGAAACGAATTTAGTATTTAATATAAAATAAATAAACTTTTTATGTAATATAAATATAATTGAGATTTTTTAAAAACTATATTTTTCTGATTTTTTTTTTACTTACTAAAATAAAAAAAAATTGTTAAATTTCTTTATAAAATGTATGTTTTTTTTTTTTTTTGAATTAAATTATAAAAAATATTAACTAACTTTTTAATCAATTCAAAATAAAAATAACAAAAAAATAACAAAAAATATGAACAATAATTAATTAAATGAGTAAAACTAAGAACTTGAAAATAATATGAAATGCTTACTTGAAAAAGTATAATTTTATATCGAATGTATTTTCTCTATATAAAATATTTTATAAAAAAAAATGATTTTAGATACTAACTTTTATGGAGTAATTTATAAAAACAAAAGAAGATGTAAATGAAATTGAAAAAAAATTAATAGATTATGATGACCTAACTGGATTATTAAATATAATATAATAAATATTTCAACATTTAACATATAAAATTGATAATGTAGTTTAAAAGTACAAAAAATAACTACAAATAATAATAAAATTTAAATATTTAATAAAAAAAAAAAGTTTAAAAAATAAAGATAATAGTAATAATCAATAAGAATACGAAGAATTAGAAAAAAATTTATAAAAAAACGAAGCAGAAATAAGAATCCATATCAGAGTAATTTTAAACTTAAAAAAAAAAAAAAAAAACTAATTAAATTCACACAAAAAAAATAAAATAAAAAAAAGCAAGAACAATAATTAAAATTATATACAGAAAGCATATAATAAAAATTAGACGAAAGTGAATAATAAAGAAACGAATTGTTATAGTCTAGTAAATAAATGATAAATGTAATTTTAGTTTATGATATAAAATTTTATTTATTTTACTAAAAAAAAATAAGGATTTAAAAAAATAAAATCATTATTTAAGTGAATAAATAACAAATTTAGAATAAAAAAATTATCAGTATATTGAAAAAATTAAATATTTAACTACAGATTTATTTAATATACAATAAAAATTAAGTAAAGCTACAGAAAAAGCAGTTAATAAAAAAATATATGTGTAAATATATTATATTATTAAATTATATATAAAATAGGAAAAAAGTTTATCATTAATATCACAAAATTGTATTAAAAAATAAAAAAGCCCAATCTTAGGAAAAATACAGAATAAAGTATTATAAAATAACGGGCTTTCGCCTATGAGAGTAGATAAAAAAGGAGGCCAATCGTAAAAATCTTCTGGAAAAAACACAAAAAATAATTATTAGAGATTTTATAATATTATATCACAATAATAACATGAAAATCATTCAAATATTTCATAAAAAATAATGTATTTATTATAAATATATTAAACACTTTATTAATATTTAATATAATAAGTACTTATAATGTAAAAGAAAACAAAACATTAAATAGTGGAGGAAGCATAAATACATCAAATAATAATTCATTTCTATATAATGGTAATAATGTAAATACAAGTAACTTCGAATCAAAAGTAAGTAAAAATACATAAATAAATAAAATTAAATGCATGATTTCAAATTTGAAAAAAGATTCTTTTAAAATATAAAATTAATTGAGATAATGAATATAGGAATTAAATAAATACATAATTTTTTATTTCATAATATAAGCGTATATACTACATGTATATTTAAAAGATTTGTAAATATTTTTTTATAAAAGAGTAAAAAATTTTATTATTTGTTATATTTTCTTAAATACCAAATACAAAAATTTACTATTTTAATAAAAGAAAAATATATAATATCTAAATTTATTTTTAAATGATGTTTTAATATTTATAATACATAGAATATATCCAAGTTGTACTCTCTCCAATACTTATTAAATATTTTAATTGATAATAAAACCCACAAACTATAAACTGTTCTATTATTAAAAGTATAAAAAATATTACTTTAGATCAAATAATTATAATTATATTAAAGTTGAAAATATTATATATTTTATTAATATTAAAATAAAATATTTAATAAAAATATATAAATGATAAAAAGCTTTTACTTTTTGTAATTATAGTAATTGATTTTAATTAATTATGCGCAATTTCACTATTTTAAGTAATAATTTTTATTTGAAACGAAAATATTAAAAACATTTATTTATTCTCTTTCTTAATTACCTTTTTTTTATAATTTCTAGTCATCTCTTCTTAGTTTATTAATTTTATTTAAAATGAAAATTTTAGTTATTTTTCTAGTATATTTTTATTATTGAATTTTTTTAGGTTTATTCATTATACCCATTTGAATTTATAAATTATTTAAATTTACTCTAAATTATTATATTAATTTTCAACATTATAGTCTCCATTAATTTATTTTTTAATTTTATTTTTAAGAAACTAAATATTCAATTGTTTTAATCGAATTATACCTTTTGTTTCTTGAGATTCTTTTTTGTTTTAACATCCAAACTTTTTGCTTAATAATGGTTAATGATTTTTTAATAAAAATTATTAGACATAATTTAATTATTAATTAAATGATTATTTATTTATTAAGATATGCATACTATTTATTAAATTTAGCTTTTATAATTATATATCGTTAATTATTTTTTTATATATTACTCATAGTAATTATTATAAAAGATTTTATTTATTAAATATTAACAAAACGTTAAGTAAAAATAATATTTAAATATAAATATACTATCTTTAATTTTTCTAAAGAAAAATATAAAGCTATATTTTAATAAATAAAATGACAATAATAAAATTTTTAAATAAGAATTAATAAATATTTCTTTTAAACATTTATCAATATTTTGAAAATATTTTTATATGTAATGCAATTTATCTATTAATATATATGTAATGCAATTTATCTAGTAATAAAATAAAGAAATAATATTAAAATATATAATTATAAAAAATATATTTTTAACCCTTATTTAAATTTACTAAAATAATAATAATAATAAAAAAAAAGCAATAATAAATGGATTAATGTGAAAATGAAATAATATTTACACATAAATTAAATTGCAAATATTAATTTTTAAGTAATCTTCATCATTCTAAAATAAATATAGATGAAAAACAATTTAACTCAGTAGAGCATTATTATTAAGCTACAAAGTTCGAAGGAACTAAAAAATTCGAAATCATTAGAAGAACTACTAAAGCATTAGAAGCTCATAAAATAGCATAAAAAAAGGATTTTAAAAAATAATAAGATTGGGACGATATAAAGGTAACAATAATGAAAAAAGCAATAAAAGCAAAATTTGATTAAAATTAAGAATTAAAGAAAAAACTTTTAGAATTAAAAGGATTTTAAATTATTGATGGAACAAATACAGATAAGTTTTGGGGAATAGGCGACGGAAATGGAAAAAATATGAATGGAAAAATATTAATGTAACTAAGGGATGAATATTTAAAATAAAATAATTAAAATTGAATCGATATATAATTATTATATTTTAAATATTTTTGTATATTATATAAAACTAAAATATATTAAATTATATATCTAGTTTTAAAATTTATAATTATTATATAAATAAATATAATATATTATTTTTAAAATATAAAAATATAAAAGAAAATTAAATTCATAATAAATATAGTCAATAATATTTTAAAAATACAAAGATTTATTGTATTTTTATGTTTTTTGTTGTTGTAAATAATAAATCAACATAAAATAAAAATTAACAATTTTTATATATCTTTAATTTTGTAATTAAGTTTATAAGCAAAAGGTATATAGTAATATAAAAAAATCTAAAAAATAAGAAATATTTTTAATTTAATTATTTAAATTATTTTTAATGAATATTAAGACATGAAAAATTAAAAATACATATTTTTATTATGATATAAAAATTAGATCTTAATGAAAATAAAACAAATTAAAAATTTAAAATATAAAATATAAAATTAATTAAAAAAAAAGTATTTTATTTATTTTGAATTTATATTTAAAATATAAATTTTAAATAAATTAAATTAAAAGCTAAGTTCAAATTTATAATTAAATTATCTAGTGTCTTCTATAGTCGAAAATTTAATTTAATGAAATAATTTAATAAGAAAAAATCTTATGTAAAATTATATTTTTATAATAATATTTTTATTCGATATTATAATTTAATATAATAATAATAATATAATAATAATATAATAATAATATAATATAATAATAATAATAATAATAATAATAATAATAATAATAAAATAAATAATAATTATAAAAAAAATAAAAAAAGAATTAAAACCATGTAAAATATTTAAAATTAATAAAATTTAACTATGAACTTATAAGACGAAAATAATTTGATTATGCAAGGAATTCTAGATGGTAAAATATTAAAAATAATTATAATTAATAAAAGAAAAATTCTATTATATATAAATATAAAAAATTATTAATATTATACTCTTTTAAAGATGATGAGACAACATTTTTTAAAAACAAAAACAATAACAAAAACGAAGTATTACAATAGAATTTTAATTAATATTATGATTGCTCCAAATAATAACTTTTTTAATAGAATGATATTATTAATAATAGATAAGATGATAATAATTTGACTTAGCTTTTATGTACGCTTTAAATAAACAATTAAGACTTAAATTTATTTTACGAATTAAACAACAATGAAAATAATTATTATAACAATTTTATAGATCAAAATCAATATTTTTAGTAAGCTTAAAAGAAATATATAAAAATAAAAAAAAAAATATATTAAATATTAAAGATTTTTTAAATTAACTTTTCTTTTTTTAAAAAAAATATAATATATAATATTAATTAAAAATATCATATAAATTCTAAAATTATATTTTTTTTTTTTAAAAAAAAAAGAGATAATAATAATTATTAATAATCATATTATGACTATTAACAAATTTAATTGTCATAAATATAATAAAACGATTTATATTTAAAGAATAATAATGACACTTTATATATTAATATAATTGAATCATGTAAAGATTAAAATAGTTCAAGGATGATATAAAAACAATTCGAAAATTCGACTATTGAACAAAAAATCTTTATTTTTGCAAAAATTTATCCTGAAGCTTCAAGTCTTGTTAAAGATTAATTTGGAAATTATGTGATTTAAAAATTTTTTGAAAAAGGTATTTTTTATTTTTTTTATAAATAATTATATATATAAAACAAATAAAAAGGAACAAATGAATAAAAGGTTTAACTATATTAACTTTTAAAAGGACAAGTTTAAGATTTATCTTTACATACTTATGGATGTAGAGTCATTTAGAAGGCTTTGGAAGAATTGAAAGATTATCCTATTTTGCAAGAAGCGATTATTTAAGAATTAAATGATACAATAATGGATTGTATTTAAGATTAACATGGAAACCATGTTATTTAAAAATGCTTTGAAGTAATTAATTGTTCTAAATTACAAGTTATAATAAGAGAAGTTATTACAAATGTATTTTTTTAATTAAAAAACTATATATTTATTAATATTTTTATTTTAATAATATAGATAAGATAATTAGCATTTCATCCATATGGATGTAGAGTAATATAAAGAATTTTAGAATTTTGCAAAACAAAAGAAGTATTTTAAGCAGTTTTTATTAATTTTATAATTTTTATTTTTTTTATTTTTTCTTGAAAAATAAAAATAAAAATAAGACTGATTTAATATATAAAAAATTAATGGAAAATCTTATCGATTTATGCAAGTGCTAATATGGAAATTATATTATTTAATATATTATAGAAAAAGGAAATAATGAAAACAAATAAAACATCTTAAAAGTTATTAAATAATATTTTGTCTCTCTTTCTTTAAATAAGTTTGCTTCTAATGTTACTGAGAAATCTATTCTTTATTCAGATGATAAATATAAACATGGAGTTTTAGAAGTTTTATTAAGTCAATATTGTGTTGATAATTAAGAGTATTTTTTATTTTAAATTTAATTTATTTTATATTTAATATAAGTACTGGAATTATCAAATTAACTAAAAATGCTTTTGGAAATTATGTTGTTTAAAGATTTTATGAAAAGGCGAATTTCGATATAAAGTTAAAATTATGTGAATACTTATTGTAAAAGGAAGATATTTATAAAGATATTATTTCAAATAGCTACGGTAATATATTTTTAATATTTTTTTTATTTTTTTTAAAGTATTTTTTTTTTATATATAGGAAAACATGTGTTAACTTATATTGAAAAAAATAGAGTTGACAATCTAAGACAAAATTAGTAATTTTTAATTTAAAATAAATAAAGTAATAATAAGAAAAAATATTGAATTTTAAAAAGTGTAAATACACACATTTTTATGTATTAATAAAATTTGTTTATATGACTTGTGCTTATGTACATATTCTTTTTTATTAAATAAATTCTGTATAAAAAGATTATAAAATAATATAAATTAATATAAATAAAATCTTAAATAATATTATTATTTTTTTATTAAAATTTGTAATAAAATACATAATATATAAACACATAAAAAAGAAATTATAAATTAAGCAATCATTTAATAATTTTTCTACACAGAGGACATTTAATATTTCTATTACTCCAATCTTAAATACATTACTTATGATATATTTTTTTGCAACATTAAGATAAAAATACTTATTCTTCTTTAAGAAAATCCTACATGCATATAATACATTACAAATCATCTTATTAGTTTCTATTCTCAAAAATTTTAATTTTTTCAATTACAGTTTCATACTTTTATGTTAAGATTTTAATTTATTTTTTATATTAAATATGGCAACAAAATAAAAGTTTAAAAATTGTAAAAATAATTCCTATACTGATTAAAATAGTAATCAAACTAAGTTAAATAATTATTTAAAATTAATAATATAAAATAAAGAAAATAAAAATAATTTTCTCATCTTTATAACAATAACCTATAAAAAAACTAGCTATTGCTAATGAAACACAATATATTTATTCAGTTATGAAAAGAATAAATTTCAAACCAAATATAAATTAGGAAACATTATATTAATATAAAAGTAATTCTATTTAACTTTTATTCATAAAAAAGTTATTAGTTTAATGAAATTTTTCGCAATTAGACAATAAATAGTTAGCCAAATTTATATAGTAATTATTTTTTGATTAATTACTATAAACTACTAAATCATTTTAATTAGTATTATTATTATTATTATTTTAATTATTTTAATTATTTTAATTATTATCTTAAGTTGAATAAAAAATTTGAATTAATTATAAATATTATAATTCATCTACTGATAGACTGCTTTTTAATGAGATTTACAATTATTATTATTGATTATTTGAAACAGCATATTATTGAATATTATTTATTTAAGAATTTCTTAATTAGTATGAAAGTGTATGTTCTCTTTAATTATTTAATTGACTAAATTATTATTAAAAATGTTAATTTTGTTAATTCAAAGCATTTTATTATAAAATAATCTATTTCATTTATTCAAGAGTTTTTTTAAAAAATTATAAATTAGCAACATCGTATCTGAAAAAGTGTAAAATTTTTAAAACTTTTTTTATTTTTATAATTGAATAAATATGTAAAATAGAGCATCTTAAACAGGATAAAAAAAAGGAAAGCTAAAAAATAAATAATTTTAAACTACAGAAATAAACACAGTTAAATATTAATAAAATAAGGAAACCTATTGTAGATGGTATATATATAAAGAAACAGAATATTAATTAAAGGCTTTAGCTTTTATTTAGTTCTTGAATTAGTTAAAAGTATACTTAAATACGCGTTAATAATTTCTTATGAACATTTTGTAAATTTCTTGTCATATTTTATTAATCATACTATATATTTATATTATGATATATATTATAAACATTTTATAAATTAATGTTTAATATTTCAGCCTAATTTACATTTTATTGAATATTCAATTATTCAGCTTAATCCAAATTTTAATCTTAAAGTTATTTTTAATTTGCATTACCTTATGATTTATTATTTTCTTATTATGTATCTTTTTAAAGATTTTATTCTTTATTAGCATTAATTATAATAGTTTAATCACTATCATGTTTTTATTATAATTATTTTTCGCTATTTATGAGTTAGCTTCTTAATAATATATTGTTTTGAGAATTCACATTTTAATTTTATTAAAATTAATTATTATTTTAATTATCAGTAAACATTTATTGTTCATTATTTTATTTTTCTAAAACTATACTTGGATTTTATTTTTCTTGGTCTTTATTATAAATTAAAACCTCTGAATTTTTTTTTTAAAAAAAAATTGTTTCTTAGTTAAAATTTTATTATTCAATATTATTTTTATAAACTATTATATATTGTAATAAAAAAGTGTATAAATTATATTAAATAACCATTTAAGTTAATTTATTTATTTTCATTTGCAAAATGTTTAAATTATTATTACAAATCAACATTCTTTTCTTCTAATATTTAAAATAATTTTATTTTTATATTTTTTAAAATTTTACAATCTTTATCGTATTTTTATTCGTTATTCATTCTTTTTTGACAGACATTATCATGTTATTATTATTTTTTTTCAAAATTATTATTTGTTATAAACTATTCTTGACTTATCATATAATAATATTAATAAAAATATATATATATATATTTTATTCTTATAAGTTTTTTATTGTTTATATTTCAATTATTTAATACTTTTTAAATTAATAAATTTTTAATATTAATATATTTATTTTATTAAAAATATTAATACAATAGCATATTAATATAAATAGCATAAAAATATTATTTATTTTATATTATTAATATTTTATGTATATATATTAAATTAGTTTTAAAATTTTCCTAATTTTTTATACATAAATATTTAAATTTATTTATTAAATATTTGAGAATATTAAAATGTTATTTTATATTAATAAGTAAATATAATTTTTATAATTAAAAATATGATTTATAAAGCTAAAAATTAATTTAATAAATTAAATTAATATATATATATATTTTTTAAAATGTTTATAATATAATAAAATAAATATTTATTTTTTTATGATTAATTATATTTATTTTTCAAATATATTTAATTAAAAAATAAATATATTAATTGACTATTAATAACTTTTATTTTTGTTTTAGATATTTAATATTATTTTATATAATAAATTAAAATGGAAATAGCCTTTGATTTATTGAAAATTAAAATAACAAATTAATAAAATATTATAATAATATATTAATTTTATTGGAATTATTAAATAAGATAAAGCATAATAAAAAAAATATTGTCTTTAAATTTAAAATTTTTTAAAAAATTAAAAAATAAGTATGTATTCAAGAAATATAATTTTAAAAAGCAAAAAAAAAAAATTCTATTTATTATAATAGTTTGAAATAAGAAATTACAATAAAAAATAATAAGTTATAAAAAAAAAAAAAAAAAATTAAAACAAAGGTAATTTAAAATGACTAAAAATAAAATAAAAAAAAATGCTATTTTAAATAAAAATTTAAAATAAATAAATAATAAAAACAAAATGAAAAATATTTAAATAAAAGTAATAAAATAATTATATATAAGTAAAATCTAGATATAATTATAAAAAAATATAAAAATAGAAAAAAATATGATGAAAGCTAATGAAAAAATATAAAAATATAATTAATAATGCAAATAAATGTCAAAAAAAAAAATAAAGAAAAATTTAATACGTCAAATAATTAGAAAAATATATATAAAAAAAATAAAAAAAAATATTATATAAAAATTTAGAGGTGAATAAAATAAAATATATAAAAATAAATATGTATATAATATATATTTATATATTATATTTTTTTTTATATATATTTTATGTTATATATATATATTTTATATTTAATATATAATATATTATAAATATTTTTTTAATTTATATATATTTATACATATTTTTATATATATATATTCTTAATATAATCCTTTTAATATTTTTTTTTTTTTAAATATATTTATTATTTTTTAATATTATTAAAATTTATTATAATTTTTCTATTTTTCTTTTATAAAAAAAAACAATTAAAAAATTTAATTAATTAATATAATATCTATTTAATATAATTCAATATTAGACTCTTTTTTTTTTAAAGCATTTTATAAATTTTAAGATTTATTTCATTTTAATATTAAAATATAATTTTATATTTAATATAAAAATATTTTTTTATAAAAAGTAAATTTTTTCATCAAAAAAAATTTTCAATTATCTTCCTATTTGTTTATCATATTTTAACTATAAATTCCATTTAAATATTTTGTAATATATCGATTCATTACTTATTTGAACTATTCTCGTTTATGTTTATGTTTAATAGAATTCATATTTTTATTTTTTAATATAGGTATTGATTACATTATGTTTTTTGATGTTTTATAAATTTTATATATATTTTAGAAATGATAATTTGTTTTATTTTATTCATTTATTGCCTTGATTTTAATTTCTTGATTTCCAATTATATGTGAATAATCGGATAGTATTATTTAATGCTTTGTTATATTACTTAAAATATCTTTAATAATAATAAAGAATATACATTATATAATGCTTAAAATGTAAATAAGTCCATGTGAATATATTTAATTAAGAATAGAAATAATTTAAGAGTCTATATTATATATTAAAATGAAAAATAGCAATTTCTTATGGTCTAAAATTTACAAAAAATTTAAACAAAAGATTATATAATGTTGGATAATACTAATTCTATTCTGATTAAAATATCAATCAATAGACATAATAAGCTAAAAATTTTATAACAATAATAAAACTAAAAAGAGACTAATATTTGCAAATATTAAAAGATAAGATGTTGTAACAATAAAAAATAGACATAATAGTGTAAGATGTTCTATTTGTCAAACAAATATTCGTTTATAAAATAAATATGATAAAGTAAGTTATTATGATAAATAAATAATCAATAATACATATATATATAATGATAAATAAATAAAACAAGTCAAATTTTAATACGGGATTAATAAAAATGTTATTAAAATTTAAAAATAACTTATAAGTATTTTTTTAAATAATAAACTCCTTTTTTTTTTTTGAAATGATACTTTATTAGAAACTAAAGGTACAAGGTACAGTGCTTAAAAATAAGAATAATCTGAGAAATATTAATAAACATTACCTTATCTTAAAAATCTTAAAATATACTTGAAACCTAATAATTATAAAATTAAAAAAATAAAAGTAAAAAAAATATTTCTTTGTTGCTAATAGATATTCGAAACCCGGTTCTGGAAATTTTAACTATAGTAAATATATTTGGAGGTAATTAACAAATTAACAAATCAACTTAACATTTAACATATTTTGATAAAAATTTTATAAGGGAAATTAAAATTCTATTACTAAAAATAAAAGAAATAAAATCAATTAAATATTAAATAAAATACATATAATAAAATTAATTTTCATTAAATATAAATGTTTGATAAAAAAGAATATATATAAATTTCGTCTTATTAAAAATCAAAATTAAATAATTAATTATATCTTACTTAATAATTTTAGCTTTAGTTATTTACCACAAAAGATATGAAATAAAACCTGAATACACTTCGATCACTATATATAAGATTTTGAGAAGCAATATCTATAAAATACTGAAGACTACCTACAAAGAAAGAAAACAATCTAAAACAAGCTTGAACATACTAACACAATAGCAATTCGGTAGTAATAGACGGACAGATTTATCTACAGAAGAAATATAATAAATAAATAACGAGCTTTTCAAATCAATCAGAAACAGTAGAAAAAATCAACTAATATGAATAATATAAAAGAAGATTCTTAAAATAAATGAACTAATAGATAACCCTTTAAAATCTTGAAGAATTATCTAAATAAATCGATTAGAGACGAAAAAAAATGTTGCTTCTCCTTTTAAAGAAAGCGTGAATCTTTTTGGGCTTTTGCATCTGTTGCTACTTCTATTGAAAGTCATGCAAGTTTATATGCAGGAGAATCGAAAGTAAAAACTATTTTTGTTTGTTTAATTTTTTTATTTTCTTTTATAGGTTCTTTCTACTTAATAATTAGTTGAATGTATACATAATACTTTAAATTATGGAGGAGGAGAAGGCTGTTAGGTAGCTATTGCTGAATTAGTTTTCAATTATGTATAATTATATGATTTAACTTCAGAATCTAAATATCTTTATACTTCTTATTAAGAATAATAATCTTCTTGTTCTTAAAATTCAAATGCTACTAATCCTGAAGTTACGTTAGATAGCTATATTAAATTACCATAAAACAGTTTTGAACACACCTTTTAAATGTAATATATTATTAATTTTTGTATATTTTTTTAAAAATTATGAAATAGGAGTTTTAAGGTTGTAATACTAAAGAAAATATTGATAGTAATTATGTAGTTGTTTTTTTCAGATAAAGGACTAATCCTAAAACAGGTGATTATTGACTTGTGAGTTTTTTCGTTTTGTTATATGTTTTATAAAAAATATTTTTTATGTTTATATGATATTTTTTTATTTTAGAGAGAAATAAATGGGGAGAAAATTGATATATTGAATTAAAAAGAGAATCTAAAGATTTATGTTGTACTGAATTTTCTCACCTTTGGATGAAACCATATGTTCAAGAGGATCTGATAATTAGAAAGTTTGTAGTTAATGTGGTTTGTTTTTTGATTGATGTTAGTTATCCTCTTGGTGTAATAGATATTGGGAAAAGAATAGAATAGTATTAATATAGATTTTTTTACTGAAAAAAATATTATTTGTATCCTAATTTTATTTTAAATTAAACAAAATATTTTTATATAAAGATATTACTAATGGATTTTTTATTTTATTTTTAATTTATCAAAATAAATGAAAAATACTATCTATTATTTATTATTTCTCGTCTTTTAATTTTTTTTAATAGAGTTTTTTTTTAAAAACAGAAAAAATCTATAATCAAAAAAAAAAACATATTTATATATAATTATTTTATTAATTTTGTTTGATATTTAATTATTTTTTCTATTAATTAATTTTCTTAGAAATTATTTTCTTTTATAATTTAAAAATTAAAAAAAAAAAAAAAAAACTTAATAAAATAAAATTTATTATTTTAAATATATATATTATGTATATGTATATTTTAAATATATTTTCATGTCCATAATTTTCTCATAGCCATATTTTTTTCTAAATCTTTCTTCATTACTTTAGCTACAGCCATTTCAAAATCTTCCTAAGTAACATGTATTCTTCTTTCTCTCAAAGCAAACATACCAGCTTCACTACAAACCGACTTAACAAAAATTAAAAATAAAATTATAAAAATAAAAAAAATCAAAAAAAAAACTTTAGATTCAGCTCCAGAAGCTCCTCCCATCTTTTCAGCAATAGACTTTAAATCAATTCCTCTAGTTAAATTCATTTTCTTAGAATGAATTTTAAGAATTTCTTATCTTGACTTTTTTTTTTTAATAAAATATATAAAAATAATTTTTTTTTAAAAAAAAAAGAAATTACTTCCACAGTAGGATTAGGGAATTCAACTTTTCTATCAATTCTACCAGGTCTTAATAAAGCAGGGTCTAGCATATCAATCCTATTAGTAGCCATTATAATTTTGATATTATTAGTAGTTTCGAAACCATCAAGCTAAATTAAATTTTAAAAAATTATATAAAAGACAAAAAAAAAAAAACAAAAACTTAATTCAATAACTCAAGCATAGTTCTTTAAACTTCAGAATCTCCTCCCTTATCACTATCTATTCTAGCTCCTCCAATAGAATCGACTTCATCAATAAAAATAAGACAAGGGGAATGCATTCTAGCCATAACGAAAAGTTCTCTAACCATTCTAGCACCTTCACCAATATATTTTTATACAAGTTCACTTCCTGAAACTCTAATAAAAGTACAATCCTATTTTTTTTAAAAAAAAATAAATAAAAAAAAACATTAAATTTTATTTTTAATTTAATTTACAGTATGATGAGCAATTGCACGTGCTAATAATGTTTTTCCAGTACCAGGAGGTCCATATAATAGAACTCCTTTTGGTTATGCGATTCCCAATGCCTCGAAAATTTCAGGATGTTTAATTGGTAATTCTATAACTTCTTTTACTTCTTTTACTTATTAATCAAGACCTCCTATCATATCATAGGTTGAATCAGGAACTTTTTCTACTTTCATCATGGATACTAAAGGATCTACCTTTGTAGGAAGAATTTTATGTAAAACGTATGAATCTCCTTTTAATGCTACTCTTGTGTTTGGAAGACATTCTTCTATTTTTATTGATTTATCTATATTTACTACGTATTTTCCATCTGTGGATATCTTTTATATAAATATTATTATTTTAGTTTATTTTTATTATATTTTTAAATTTTACTTTAACTAACACTTTGTTTTTGCCTATTGCCTTAACTACATCGCCTACATATGAATGAGGAGATTATAATGAATAATATTCCTCTTTTAATGTTCTGACTGATTTATTATATATATTTAATTTTTATTTTATGTAAATATTATATTACCTTAGTTATTATATTCATTTCTTTATGCTTCTAAACGCTTGTTGTTTGATATTTTTTCGTTTACTTTTAATCTTATTTCTTCTATTTTTGATTAATAATAAGCCTTTAAGCCTGCTCCTTAACTTTGTTGCATTTTTATTCTAATGTTTTAATTTTATAATTTTTTTAATAAATTTTAAATTTACTTTGCTTTTATTTTTATATAAAATTTCTATTATTAGATCAGATAAAGAAGATATATATAAAATAATAATATTTTTTATTTAAAAATAAATATTATAAATTAAAATTATAATTATATATGAACTTAATATTTAACATAGTAAACATTAGTCCTAAACTACTTAACTTATAGTTTAAAAGTTGATTTGAATAAGTATTATATGAATTTATAAAATATTTTATATAATAATATATAATAAAAATTCAAAATAATATTTATTTAAAATTAAAAAAAAATATATATCTGTTTACTTATTAAATATATTATAATAAATAATTTTATAATTAAGTTAATTGTATTTATATTATATATAAAAAACACTGTTAAAATTATAAAAAGTAAAATATATATAAAAAAAAGATGTACAACTCTTATGCCACAAAAAAATAAGAAATAGAAAAAGAAAAGCAAGAATAAGAAGCTTAAAAAAAATAAGAAAGATCCATAAAATTTTCAGATTAATCATAACATAACATAGATGATGAGCATTTTTTTTCAAATGACCAAATAAAAATATTATAACCTTAACAAAAAGTTATGAATAAAAATGAGTATTTTCAAAGCAAATCTTTATTTAATATAACTGACATAAATTAAAATTCAAACGAAAAAAAGCAATCTATAATCGAATAAAGTTTACCAACGTTTAAAAAGATATCAAAAATTTTTAAAAAAAATTAAGGATAAAACCTAAACAATTAATAAGAAAGTTTAAATGTAAATAAAAATTTAGCATAAACATAAGAAATTTAATAATAAAATAGCAGAAAAAAGCAAATATTGATGTAAAATTTGTAATTATATTAAGGACAAAACGAAATTAATTTAAAAAAGCAAAAATACTTAAGTATAGATTAAATATAGTAAGATTTAATAGTTTTGATTAGCAAAAAAGAAGAATAACTAAAGTTATCAAATTAAAAAGACTAAAAATTCGAATACATAAAAAACAAATTTTTCAAAAAAGGCGAAAATACATTTAAATAACCAAATGAAAATATATATACTTAATTACAAAAAAATCAAATAAATAGATGCTCTTCAATTGATAATTGCCCAGAATAAAAAAAAGAATTGATAATAATAGTTCTTTTAATAATTAAAAAATTAAAATTCTTTTATAATTTCTCTTTCCGATATAAGTTAAATTAAAAATTCTTAAAATTCTCCAATAACAAGTTTGAGTAGAGAAGTCTAAAATCTAAATCTAAGCAAAAACCTAAAATATCCTAAAAAAAGATCTTAAAATTAATAAGTGGAACAAAGCCTAAAAGATGTTATAGTAGAAATATAATCTTTAAAATTAAGTTAGCATTAAACAAACGATAATTCTAAAAGAGAAGAAGTATTTAAATAAAATGACAATTATTTTTTTGAAGGTAATAAAAATAAAGATGAAATTAATAATTAATCATTATAATTTGAATAAAATTTAGATTATGTTTGTATAAATCAAAATAATAATTAAAAAATAAAAGCATAATAATAGTAATTGTAAAAATAATAATACTATAATTATAGTAATTAAAAAGAAATAATAAATATAATTTATGAATATTTCTAATAATTAAAATTAAATTCTAATATTTAATAAGACAAAAACATTAAAAATGCAATTTTTAATGTCGAAAAACATTTAAAAAATCTTAAAAATAAAATATTAACTAAATAAAAATATAATACACCTATAAAAAAAAAACACTATATACAAAAAAATGATAACATAAATTATTAATAAGATATTAAAAAAAAATATAATTACTAAAGTAATGATTTAGAAAGAGACTATTCACCTTTTTAAATTAATTTAAAAGAAGTTGAAGAAAGCAAAATATATTAAAGCTCGAAACAAAATAATGATTATAAAGGGTAAAATGAAAATAAAAAAAATAAATATTATTCGAATAGTAGTGTTCATTAATTTTAAGAATATAATTATTAATAGGAAAAAATAAATACTGAAAAAGATTAAAAAAAATAAAATATAAATAAATTTGAAACTAATTCAAATATAGGTTACATTATATCTTTTGGAAATAGTTTAAATAACTCATAATAAAAAATAAAATAAAAATAAAATAATAATTTAGTTACGTTTGGAAACGAAGAAATTTTTATCGATAAAAATAAAATTTAAAATAATATGAATTCCAATAGTTAATCATATTTATAATAATTATAAAAAATACATAAATAGCTTTAAACTCATATTTAAAAAAGTTTAAACAACACAAGTAATATGAATAATCAAAAATGCCCTAATAATAATATCAAGAGTGTTAATATTAAAATAAATTTAAATAAAAATAACCAATAGAAAAACCTAAAAAATTATGCGCCTTAATTTATTAAAAAATTTGAAAATAAATAAAAATACTAAATTAAAAATGAAGATTAATTTAATAACATAAGCGTATAATATATTTAAAAAGGGATTAATGTAAATTTTTTATATATATATTTTTTAATTTTATTTTTTAGGATATAAAAAAAGAAAATAATAATAAAAAACAAGTATTAAAAAAAATTAATTATTGATAATTTCATTTATTTATGTATATATATATTTATAATAATTAAAATGAATTAAATAGTTTCTAAAATAATAATTTTATTTTATTTTAATAATAGAATAATAATTTAATAAATTATTATTAAAATTAAATTATATATAAATTTTATTTATAATACTAATTAATAACTCAATTTAATTCAGTATTTTCTTCTTCAACATTCTAAAAAAAAAATATTATATATATATATATATATATATATATATGTATATTTATATTAAAATTATAATATTATATTTTAGTTTTATTACTTTTTTGCAAATATAAATATAATGATATTTTTCCTAACCATCATCAATAGAAACCTTTGGTTTAGCTATTTACTGTTCGATTATATCCCATTAGAATTCAGGCTATTTGAATATGTTAAAAATATAATAAAATATATTTACAAATAGTATTTACTCTCTGTAAAATATTTTTCCTATTTTCAGGCGAACCATAAGAAATTAGAAAATATATTCCTTTATTAGTTAATACTCTATATATTTCTTGTAATGCTTTATATGAATTAGCAGTAGAACATTCGCCGCATAAAATGCAATCTAAAGTTCCTTTATCAATCACAAAATCAAATTATTTAGCACTAAACTATAGTTCTCTAACATCCATTTATAAATCTATTTTTCCATTTAAAAATTTTTTATATAGAAAGTTAAAAATTGATTTATACATTTAAAATTGCTCCCCTTATCTTTGTATTTTTCATTCATATTTTTTACCACTGTCTATGATATATCTATGCTTGTAATATTTTAGTAATCTTCATCATAAAGTTCTTCACTTAATCCTTTTTTTTATTTGATATTTTTAAATCTTTATTTTATTTTAACTTGAACTTCCTGCTCCAACATCTAATATCATACTATCAACTGTTAGATATTAAATAAGTAAATTTTTTATTCCGCTAAATCTTTAATACCAATCAAATGGTTCAGGATCTCTTTTTATTAATGAATTTATATAAAAATAAATTAGCCTTTTAAACTTTTATTTACCTTTGATATCTATCTTCCCAATATTAAGGATTTCCGTATTAATTCATTTATTTTTTTATTTATTTATTAATTTAAAATTAACTTATAATGAGTAAAAATACAGTTTTTTTATAAAAAAATATAATGAAAATAACAAAAAATTAAATATTAAAATTTTTAAAAAAATAATAAAAAATAAATTACATATATATATATATATATTATAATAATATTTTTTTTCTTTTTTTTTGATTTTTTCTTCTTATAAAAAAATAAATAATTAATTATATAAAAAAAAGCAATAAATACACAAAAAAGGTATTTCAAAAATTATTTTTTCTTAATTGTAAAAGATTAGCAATAATATGACAAACATATTTAATAGTTTTCACAAACTAATTTAATTTACTGTTTTTATAGAAATTATTTTAAACCTAAATCATAAATGAATTATCAAATTTTTTTAAATATTAAACTTAAAGAACACCCATTATTTAGCACTTAGATTCTTACTAATTTTGTTTTTTTTTTTTTTTTTCCTAAATAGGGACAGTAATAATAGATAAAGCAGTATCAATATCAATCTTTTAATTAAAAAGAGGATCATTTTAAGCAGAAAAAGACAAAATAATTTTTTATTTTGAAAAACATTCACCAACTATTCCTTATCCTTATTCAAATTAATTTTTATTCATATTTTAATCAAATTAAACTAAATAGTTGTTTTATAAAATAAAAAAATTAAAATGAGATAAATTTAATTTCTCTTCTAAAAATTTTTTTACTTAAAAAATTATTTCCCTTTCATCAAAAATAAAATTACTACTTTTAATTCCAAAATTAAGTAAATATTTAAAATTTTATTATAAACTTTAAACTTCATCATTCTTTATTGAATTTCTTAATACTCCTTAGGCAATATTTGCCAAAATATTAATAATCCCTTCATCTTCTTTAGAAAAAAATCCATTTTTATTTTTATTTAAGGCCTATACCACTCCAATAATTTCACTTCTATTTTAATCATAAATAGGAACTGTAAGTACAGTTTTAGTCATATATTAAGTGCTTAATTCGATATCACGACTAAACCTGTTATCTGTTTAAGCATCTATTATATTTATTGTATCACCACTTTAAGCAACTCTTCCTACAATTCCTTTAGTTAGAGGAATTCTAATAATATTTTCGACTCCTTTAGCAACTCTAGTCCATAATTCTTATTTTTCTTTATCAATCAAGAAAACAGAGGCCCTATCGCAATCTAAAATAAGACAAATTTATTCAACAATTAATTAAAAAGCTTCTGAAAGGCTGATAGAAAAATTAATTTTTGAAGAAATTTAAATTATTTTTTTCAGCTTTAGTGTTAGTTTTACTAAAGATTCTAATATTTCTTAAGAATATTTAATTTATTCATAAGGTATTATTGATTTCTCATAATCATTAATATTCTAAAGGTATTAATTTAAAATAGTAATACTTTTGTTTTCCTCATAAGCATTTTTTAGTTATTAATCTTCTAAATTAAAATCTAAAAGAAGACTTAAAAAATGCAATTAATTCTAGTTTTCAATAAAATTGAACCTTTTTTGATTTATATCACATGCTTAATATATTGATTTATTCTTTTTATTTTTTTCAGAATTCACATTAATAGTAAGGCGCTTTTCTTGGTTATTTAATGTTTGTAAGTCCCTTATTATAGGTGATTAATTTACTTGATATTGCATTTTCCGAATATGATTTCTTAATTTAATGTTTGATTTATTGATTTGTTCTATTATTTCATCCTTTTTTTATAAGGATATTTGATAAAAACTTATCATATTGTTCTTTTATTCTAATTCTCGGGTTTTTATATTTATCATATTCTCTAATTATTCTAAACGTTAATTGGATGTATATTATTAACTTTATTCTTAATTACTTTAAAAATTTTATGAGCAAGAATTTTCTAATAATTATGATTATCTTACTTATTTCTAATTAGTCTAAAGTAATTGACTTGTAATTGTTAAAGAACTGTTTTTTAAATGATAACTGTTTTTTTAAGGATAACTAGATTTTTAATGAATACCATTTTTTTAATAGTTATTAGATAACTCTTTTTTAAGGTTAGGAAAATATAATTGACTATTTAATAAAGTTTTAGATTTTGTTGTTGGAGGACTAAATTATATGCTTTAAGATATAAGTTGATCGAAACTTAATTTTTTTTTTTATGTTAATGCACCAAAATACATTTTTTTTTTACTTAAAATACTGTACTATGAGTATTTTTTTATTATTAATAAAATTGATTGTTTATATATATATTATTTATTTACAAAAATAGTTACAATTATAATTTATAATAAAAAAATATTTAATCAGTTAAATTATATTAATGTTAAATGAATAACAAAAAATGTGTGTGTGTGTGTGTTTTTTTTTTTAAAATTAAAATAAATAAATATTTATGTTTTTATATTTTTTTAGATTATAACTATTTTTTTTTAAATAATTAATTATATTATAAATAAAAAAAATGATTTTTATATTAATTTATTATTCTATATAAAATCATATAAATAACTCATATTATATAAAATAATTTAAATAAATTGAAATATTAATTTTATTGTTTAAATATATAAAATTGTTTATTTTTGATTAATTATTATATATTTTTTTAATTAAATAAATAGATATTTAATATATATATATATGAAATTGACTTTTTTTTATAAATTGAACTAGAACTAATCTATAAATATATCAATCCAAGATTATAGTTAATGGTGTTTTTAATTAATATTTAACTATAATATATGAATAAAACTTTTATATGTTTAAATATACTTATTTTATTAGAAAAATAAAAAAATAATATAATTAATCTGTTTTATATAATATTTTAATCTAAAAATAATAATATGTTTAATATTTTTTAAAAATTCTTTTTTATTTAATAAATTTTATATTAAAAAAATTAATTTATAATTAAAAATATAAAGTTAAAAATTATTTAAAATTGAATATCATAATTTATTACTAATATAATCAATTTATAATAAATATTATTTACATTCTAAAAATTTCATTATTTATTATAGCTTTATAAATAAAAAGTATTTAAGTATTATAATATATTTTAATAAAAATTTTAATAATATATATATACAATTTGATAAATTAGATATTTTAATTTTTAGAAAATAATAAATAATTTAAAATAATAAAATTGAATACATTTCTTTTTAAATATGTAACTAAATAAATAATAAAACATGTATTAATAAAATATATAATAACAAAATATATAATAATAAACTATTTAACTATAGTATTCTAATTTATTAGATTTACTAAAGCCAAATAATTTAGCATAATAATACGATGTTAATTATAAAAATGTAATAAAAAAAGAAGATAAGAATATACAAAAAGGATAAAAATACTAAGCACAATAAGATTAACAATAATATTATTATTTGGTAGATATACTCTTTAAAGAAATATATAACTAAGATTAAGAAGCTGCTGTAATGAATGAAAATATATAGAATATAATTAATTAAAGAGATAAAAAAAATCTTAATAATTATATTAATTTAATAAATAAATGTAAATAGAAAGATTTTATAATGACTTTAAAAATATATATTGTACTTTTAATCAATAAATAAGTAATTTTATTGATTAAATTGATAATATAAAACTAAAATATGAATTTCCGAAATTCTAAAAGTTTAACTAAATTTTATGTAATTACTAAAGTTCTTTTAGAGATTTTCTTCTTAACTAAAGTGAGTTAAAATAAAGTTATATTTAAATTATGGAAGACATTAAAAACTTAATTTAAATGAAATAAAATGAGATTTAAAAATTCGAAAGTTAAAATGATTAAAATAATAACAAAAATAGATATATTGAAAATCTCTTTATTTATTTCAATATGGATTTTATTTTTAATTTTTTAAAAACTTTACAACAAATAAATGAAAAAGTGTAATCATATTAAGAAAATTTAAAAATAATAACATCAGAAGGTTCATAATATATAGAAAAGTTATAAAAACTAAAATATAATATTTAACAAAAAATTGATTTTTTTGAAAATAAATTATCATAAAATTACTTCTATTTATATATGGAAGAAGTACATAAATATTTTAATTCAAAACCTTATGAAAATATAGAAAACAATCCTGAATAATTTAAAAATTAAGTTAATATAAAAGGATTAAAAATAACACCATAAGATTTATTAAGGTTTAAACAAAATGAATAAATAAATGATAATTTATTAGATGCTTATACTTTATATTTAAACTAAAATACAATTTTAAATAAAGAACAAGTCTATATTTTATCTCATAGATTTATTGAATATTCTTTTAAGTTTAATAATTAATAGATTGATCCTATTTAAGCTAAGTCTTATATCGAATTTCATTTCTAAAAAATTGAAGATTTATTCAAGAAAAAATAAATCGGATTTATAATTAATGTATAATATAACTGTATTAAGCATTGGATCTTTCTTGCGGTATAAAATTAAGAAAAAATAATTTATGGATATGATTCTGCTGGTTATTGTAATTATGTTTAAGTTTAAGCAATTTATAAATACATATGTTAAGTATCTGGTACTAAATATACTTTTATTTAAAGGCCTGATAAATGCCCTAAATAAGAAAACGGATCTGATTGTGGAATGTTTGTATTAAAATATATGCAGAATTTCGCTTATGGAAAAGAAAATGATTTTAATTAATAGTATATTAATTAAATGAAAAAGAATTTTTATAGCCTTTTTTTAGTTTTAGGTTATTAAGAAAGTTAAGGAAAATTTGATTATGAAATGATTAATTATTTTGAGTTTTGAATATTTCTTTATTTTGTTTTGTTTTAAATAAATAAAAAATAAAAATAAATAAGCGAAAATTAATTAAATATTTTTTTTTATTTTAATAAGGTAATAATGTATTTTTAGGTTTTTTTTTTTTTTTATCTTTTTTATTAAATTTTACTTTTTATCCACTAGTCTATTTTTTTTTTTTT